CAAAACAGGCAGTCAGAATAGCTGATGGGAGGGATCGTGGGGAGCAGAGGGCTCTGGTTGCTGCTCCACACAGCTCTGCTGTGCAACTTCACCACCACTTACAGCCTGTGCCTCCCACAGACCTGAGAGAAAAATCAGGTAATGCAGATTTCCTCTTTCTTCTCTTGGGGGACCAGTCTGTTGAGAGACTCATTAAAACACACTATGCCCAAGACAGAAAAACATCACCTGACAAGAAAATGCTCTTACAGAAAACAAGTCTTTGATAGCTTTACATGCTTCTTGAACACAGGAAAAGCCAGTCAATAATGTTCCTTGTGGCCTAAAAGCAGAAACATCTGTTGGAGGCAGCTTGCTAGGCTGAATATAGCAGCAGGAAAGCCCAACTGATTAACTCCATCCTCTTCCTAACATGTTTATGTGGTTCCCAGAAATCCCTAGAAAGGGCTCCTGAGGACACTGGCACTATTACAAGCCAGCTCTATAATTCTGTAAACAGAGAGATAAAAGAAACATTATCCTACTGCAGTTCACCTCTGGCATCCAGTTTGCGTAATTCACACATGCTTCATCTAGTCTCCCTTAGCTGTGGGACAAGCTTCTGATTTAGGATAAGAGGAAGAGCCCATGCTCTGATGAAGGAAAACATAAAGCTGTTGTGAGGAGGAAAAGAGGGCTGGGGCGGTCGGGGTCCATCTAACCTTGCAAGTAGGCCAGAGCTGGGGAAAAGTAGAAAACATTAGAGCAGTAACACAGTCAGTAGACACAGGAAGCACTTCCAGTATAGCTGGGCTGATCCTTCTTAAAACAACCACCAGGGCCCTTCTCTTCCATCCACATTCACCATAACAAGGAGAGCAGCCAGCTTCCTCTTGATTACTTCTCACATTTTGGTCTTCTCTCATTTCTGTTTATAGTAATACCCTGGGATGAGAATGCTTAAGAGGAACACCCTTTTCTATCCCTTTCCCTGACCTGACATCTTACAAGACACAACTGGACAGGGTGGTAGATAATCTTATCTAGGCTCCCTTTCCCAAGACAGGTTGGACCAGATGATCTTTTTAGGTGCCATCCAACTCCAGCTGTTCTATGATCTAGGACTTCAAGTGTGGTATCAAGCAACACTTTTGTCTCCAGCATATGGGACAGCACTAGGGAGACTGCCTTCTTGGTGGGAAGAAGGGATGACTGCTCAGTAAACAAATGCAACATGTCATTTTAAGGACTGTGTTAGGGAAATATGCATTTCCTGTCATGTAGCATGCCTTTTTTTTGCCCCCTAAGTGGTATATTTCTGCAGTACATAAATGCACAATTCAGAACAACTTAAAACTTACTATTTCAAAAGGTACTAAGCAACTTGGATGCCTTGTAATACATTTTAATCAAATAATATTTTTAAAATTTACAACAATATTTAAAATTAAAAAGTAAAAATACTTTTAGAGTTCAGGTTAACATAACATTTAATAAGTTTCTCAAGTTTCTTCAATATCCCCAAAGCTGTTTACCCGAAGAAACGTTATTTTCCCTGCTGCATTTCAGACACATAAAAGTAGTTAATTCCACAATTTTTAAGAATTTTCACAGACTATAATTTAAGTTAGGATGTAGAGAATTTCCCAGTACCAGGCTCCTTAAGTGTGAGCTTTACTGACTACTTACCATACAGTATTTGTCCTCTAATTCAAGGAAACACAAGATGCGTTCAGTCAAGTCTAAAAGATTTGAGAACAATTACATTTTGTGTAAGCTACCTTTAAAATAATGCATCGGCATAAAACTGAGGAGATGCACCTGTTTGTCAGCCTTGAAAGACACAGCAGTTCCAAGAAGGCATCCACACTAAGTGTCTTCCAGGATAAATGTCTTCCAGGAATCCCAATATGTGGATAGTATCTTGACATCCTTTCAAAGGAAAACAATTAAAATAATCTTCCTGTGGGTACATGCCTAAACATTCCTACGTATTCAACATTACCAAAATAGAGTATCAAATGCAATCCTGAAACCCTGGATAGCTTTTATAGCCAAATAACACATTACCTGCAACACCATTTCCTACAGTATGCTGTATGTGGGCTGAACAAATATCTGGAATGAAATACTTGTTCTGATTTCCCATGGACTTCCAGGCAAAATCATGCCTTGAATTCACATTAGCATCACCAGCTGCAAACATCAATACACTGTCAAGGTCAAAACATTTGACTATGGTACATCGTTTTTTATCTTTTCAAATATTGCTACTGCAGCTTCCCTACAGTCTTGGAAACAGGCAAACAGACAACAGTCTATTCCCTTTTCTGTGCAAAGATGAACAACTACCAAAGAAAAAACCCTTTCTTGGTTTTGTGCTTCGAGGTATCTATTGACAAGAAGGAAAGAAGTCATTTCCAGCTAAATGTTTGCTTTCTTAGTGAGAGAGGATCTAATACACTGCTGGTATACAAAGAAAGGTCTCTTCCTAGAAAGATGAATTGTCTTACCTGGAAGTGGAAAATTACACTACTGCTTTCACAATCAAGTAATAGCTGGAGTTATTATGTACCATACCAGCACAAGTTTCCAGCAACACCACCCATTTCTACTAAAAGAAGCTCCAAGTTTCATCTTTATAAGAAATACTAGAATTGCTTCTTTGTGTTACTCCACTTCCATCTTACTTTCTGTGTGATAGTTCACTGCACATAACCGAGGAACTCCTCCACAAGCTGCAGGAAGTTTACTGAAAACTATTGCCAGCTTTATTGAGCTACTCGACACCATTTCTCCACTGACTCTAAAGAAGAAAGCCTTTAATTTCTTTTTAAGACATGTGTCTTCAATGTCTGTGTAATGTTCATAAACATAAGATCTGGGGACTTCAATAAGGTGCTGCATATAAAGAAACTACTTTTCTTGCAGGCAATGTAAATATGACTTTGCTTTAGAGCAGAATAATGGGATGGCAGAACAAAACAGCTTTTGGTCAAAAAAGATACATGGCCCATTCACTCAGCAATTCTTCAGAAGGAAATGAGTATTCATGGCACTATGTACAGTCTTTGCTGGATTGATATTTAATTCTGGGTAGATCCTGCCAGCTTAAATGAATAGTTTTAATCAGAGTCTGAGGGATTTACTACCCTGTGGGGTTTTGTGTGTGTGTGAGGGAGTTGTGTGGGGCTTTTTTTCTTGAGGGAATGAACTACCTCAGCTTTCTGGGGTTTTTCCTCCCTTTCATCTTACAGATTATTAAAATCTGTCAGTAGTAGTGAGGGCCTTGTGTTGGAAATGTACATCTTCAGACTTAACTCTTCTCCATTGCATGTGTTTGCTTCTTAGGTTTACCCTCCACCTCCCACACTGGAAAATGGTAAGATCAAATGTGAAAGGGAACCCACTGCTCATTCCAGTCCTACTAGGGGACTCATCAGAATTCTCCCTCTGTAGTTAACCAGAGAAGACATCAGCAGCACAGCCCAGTGAGAATCCCTTAGGCCTGGAGTCAGCCTCTATTTATGTATTTCCAAACTAAGATTAAAATTCCCAGAGGACCCTGCTGTAATCTCTAACTGGCATCACATAGAGCTGGCCCTGCGTGATGAGTATCTGCCCTCTGTGTAGCCAGCAGTGACATTTTCCAAAGTTTTATCCCTTGCATGCTATTTCCTCACCTGTGTTAGAGAGGCCTGAGGCAATACCATGTTTTCACAGGCAAAGTCTCAACAAGGAAGACTGTAAGCTTATTTTTTAAATTTCAGGTATTCTTTATTGCAATTCTGAGACAAAAAAATGTAGCAACTTTTTCTTCTTTTTGGTTAAAAGTGGATATCCTTTCAGACTGACTTCCCTCCCCAAAATAAGGTGATTTATTGCCATTGCTTTGTGAGGGTCTCACTGATTCAGCCCTCCCCTCACTCCTGCTACAGGTGAGCAAGATGGGACTTCCCCTAGGGCCACAGGGATCTGCTTCTGGCCCAGCAGGAACTCCTCACTCTGCCAGCAGCTTCCCTACAGGCAGTGCACTGTGTCACATCCTTCAGCACTCCTGCCACCTCACTTCGTGTGTCCCTTCTCTCATCCACTCCCCATACACTTGATTCATGCTCCTTATTCCTGCCAACCTTCCTGCCCTGTTTCCCTAGGCTGCTCCAAGCACTGCCATCTCTTCAGGCTTTCCCACCACTCAGGACGCAAATGGAGGAGGAATAGGAGATTTTCTCCTCGGGATGGTTCCCTTGTCACAGTCCTGTTCCAGCTTTCTCCCCGTCCCTCACACTCACTCTGTGGGAAGAATTACAGCAGATGGGGAAATGTCTCCTAAAATAAAGCTCAGCTGACAACTCAAACAATACAAAGCAGAGCAGATGATGTGACCCCAGCCCAGCAAGTCAGGTACCACAGAGGTGCTGCACAAGGTATCAGGGCCCTTCAGCTCAGTGAGTCCTCACAGTAGGACCTCAGGCACCTTGAAGATACAGCATGACCACAGGCCAGGGTGACAGGCCACCTCTGCCACACTATCGCAGACAGCTGAGACACGGACTGCGCTGCAAAGCCCCGAATTTGGGTGCTGATGGTAGGGTGCACAGCAGATACTCCCCCAGTCCGGACCAGGGGCTAACCAGCATGATGCAAACCCATCCTCTTCCCTGGCACAGGAGGGACTCATTCACAACTGGCAAGGATCTAACCTGGCACTTCCAGTGCTTCTCGGGGAGACAGCAGGACCGTACACCCCCAAACCCCTGTACGGCTGTTGGGTGGAAGGACCCCGAGTCGGCCCTTTTGGGCTCCTGCACCACCAACTGTCCTCCGGCGTGTGAGAGGACCCCACAGCGGGCAGCAGCGAGGGCTGTGCCTGGTACATGAGGTAACAGAGGGCACCCCGGCCCCAGGCTGCTCGGATCGAGCTCTCGGGCGAGGCGGCCCCAACCGCCCCAGCACAGCGCCAGGACACGCCGTCACACCACCGCCACGGCCTCCGAACCCAACCGACCGGCGGCGCATGCGCCACCGCAGCGCAGCGCAGCGTCCGGGGCGCCCTCGCGTGCCGTGCTGCATGGCCGCAGAGGGGACCGCGGGGAGCGCCCCGGAGGGCAGCGGGAGCGCGCCCCACGCCCGCCCCTTCATCTGCTCGTTCCCGGGCTGTGACTCTTCCTTTAACAAGGGTTGGAAGTTAGACGCGCACCTCTGCCGGCACACGGGCGAGGTGAGCCGGGAAAGGAAGGGTTAGCGCGGGTGAGGTAAAGGGCGCCGCACTGGGGTCCGGCGGGCGGGCGCGGGTCGCGGCCGGGCAGCCCGGTTCATCGCCTGGGGTCCCCGAAGCCCCATGGGTGGGTGTGCGCTGCTGAAGGAGCCTCCCGGAAGCAGCCGAGTCCCGTAGGAATGGTGTGCCGCTTCTGACCCGCCCTCCCTCCTCCTCTCCCGCTCCCATCTCAGAGGCCGTATGTCTGCCCTTACGATGGCTGCGGTAAAGGCTTCACCAGAGACTTCCACCGCGCTCGACACATTCTTATGCACACCGGGGAAAAGCCGTTCGAGTAAGGCCGCGCTTTTTACATCTTAAAACGGATTATGCTAGTCCTTACGGAAGTGGAGTTGAAACTGATATGTGGGTGCTATGCACTTCTAGGTTTGTTACCATGGGGGGTGCCATAACAGTGCACGGACAGGGTGAGAGCTGTGGGAAATAGCAGCCTAAAGCCTCCTATCTGGCCACGATCCGTAATAGGAACGGGCAGATCTCTCCTTAGAATGCAGAATTAAAATAAGGAAGGACAGTTATTACTAAGCTTTTAACAGCTGCACGTCATGGATTAGGAGCTAGGAATTCCTGCATGCTTTATTAAGTATCTCTTCTGATACATCTTCCTGTGGCTTTTGGTTGTAACTTAGCCTGTCTTTTTGTGTTGTGTCCTGGGTTCAGCAGTAGCAGTCATGTTTTTTTTTTTCCTTTGTGTTAGCTGGTGCAGTGCTGTGTTTTGACTTCTAGTTTTGAGAACAGCGTTGGTGAAGCCGATGTTTTCGGTTGTTGCTAAGTGATGTTTACCCTGACCAAGGACTCTGTGAGGCTCATGCTCTGCCAGGGAGGAGGGGAAGCTGTGAGGAAGCAGAGACGGGGCGCCTGACCCGGGCTAGCCGGGGAGGTATTCCATACCACAGCACGTCATGCCCGGGGTGGGGGGTAACTGGGAGTTAACCGGAAGGACAGGGGCTTCCGGGTGGAACTCGTTTTCTTGGCCGGTGGTATCGTATTCTCTTCCCTTGTTATTTTCCCTTATCATTGTTTTAGCTGATAGTAGCGGTGGTGATTTGTTGCTGGACTGTTCTTGTCTCAACCCGTAGGAGTTGCACTCTCTCGATCCTCCTCCCCGTTCCTCCGGGAGCGGGGAAGGGGAGAGCCCCGGTGCAGGGAGGGGGGGGTAGACGAACACGGACCTTGATTGTTGTCAGCTTGGCACCACTCACTGGGAGTGAGTGAACAAGTTACCTGACTGGGTTTAAACCACGACAGTTCTTTTTGGCGCCCAACGTGGGGCACGAGGGGTTGAGATAAGAACAGATCTGACTGGATTGATAGTCACTCGTCACAATGCTGATTTATTGGCTCTCCAGGTTTTTCCTCTTGATCTCACAGTTTCAGTATACCATATCTTACGTCCATCCGGTATTGGCTGTATTAGTGTTTTTCAAGTGTGGGGCTTGGGCTAAGGTTTTTATCCCATTGTACTTTATGGTAATGACTTGTAATACAATAGAATCATTGATCATGAAACTGATCTGGCTTATGTTCCCAGTGTGGTCACCACCTTTATACTTTGGGAGGTATATGATGGAGGTGCTTAGCAATTACACATCTTTTTTCTCCTTCTCAGGTGCTCAACCTGTGAAGGAGACATCCTTTTACCCTCCTAGTCGTCCCCCCAGACCATTTACATTTGAGAGTTTCGAATTTTTTAAATGGCCTTTTAATGCTCTTGAGACTTGTTTGCTGATGGTGATGGGAATCACCATGCTAACACGCATACAGAGTGTGTTTTGCCCACTACTGATTTCAAGAGTTAAGCAGATTCAGGTTTGGGTCTTGTCTGGGGTCAAACGACGATGTAGGAGGACCGAGAGATTTTCCCAGAGGCTGGACAGCCATGAGTGGCAGGGTGTGTGGGATAGTATGGGCAAGTATCTAGGTCAGTGGGCCCCCCCAGTATTTTGGAATTTCACTACCGAACAACTGCAAAATCCAGAAGAATTAGTAAAACACTTAAATGAGGTGTGTGGTCATTCTGGCCATACCAGAGATGGACAAATCACGGCAACGTGCTGGGGCTTGGCCTATGCTTACAGGGCCTTGTTCAACACTATCCAGCACCTTCAAAAGGAAAAGAATGTTGGCGGATTTGAGGGCAAAGCGACAGTCGCTACTCAAACTTTGGCTGCAATGAACTGCGCAGCTACCCCAGTGGCAAGTACAGCAGCTGCTCAAACTTCAACTGCAACAGACAGCGCGGTTACCCCAGCTCCAAGCACGGTAGCTACACCACCCCCAGCAACAAGTACAGTCGCTACTCAAACCACAGTGATAATCACTGCAGCCAAACCAGAGGACCAATTCGTACCAATATCGGTTGCCCCTGTACGCAAGAGAACAAGCAAGAAGGAGGCAAAAAGGGTGAAGCGAGATGAAGAACCAATGAATTCACCACCCGGTCCAGAATCTGATCAGGAGTCATCCTCACATGACGAAGAAGAAGAAGAAGAGGTAACTTCTCGACCCCGGACCTCAACCGAGTTGCGGAATATGCGAAAAGATTTTACCCGTCAACCAGGGGAGCACATCATCACCTGGTTACTCCGATGCTGGGACAATGGGGCCGATGGTCACGAACTAGAAGGTACAGAAGCCAAGCAGCTGGGATCACTTGCTAGAGAAGGGGGAATTGACAAAGCAATTGCAAGAGAGAAAAAGTCCCTCAGCCTTTGGAGGAGGCTCTTGGCAGCTGTGAAAGAAAGGTTTCCGTACAAGGACGATGTTACGAGTCGTTCGGCCAAGTGGACTACTATAGACAAAGGCATCCAGTCTCTGAGGGAATCGGCCATCGTAGAGATGATCTATCACATCAAGCCGAATAACGGGGATACACCTATAGATCCAGATGAAGTTGAATGTACACGACCCATGTGGCGAAAACTTACACGGAATGCACCGTCATCATATGCCCATTCATTGGCAACAGTGACCTGGAATGACATAGTACCACTAACAGTGGATGAAATGGTTCATAAACTCCGAGAGTTCGAAGACAATCTCACTCCTTCCATCATCTCAGCTGTGAAAAAACTGTCCCAGGACCTCGACAAATTGAGGGACGATGTATCTGATTTATCCAGCTCCTCACGTGTACCAACACGCGTCTCAGCTATTAACAAAAGACGTCCTATTGTTCAAGAGAGGAGATACAGAAGGTATACGCCACGGGGTACCCTATGGTTTTACCTGCTGGATCACGGAGAAGACATGACAAAGTGGGATGGAAAACCTACTTCAGCTTTGGAGGAACGGGTGAGTGAACTGAAGAGGGGAGCAAGGGCCAAGACTGATCGTCCCATGAGAGCTACGGCTTCAGTTTCTGGTGAGCAGTTTCCCAGATGGAGTGGAAGAGCTGATTTTACTCCAGCTCCTGTGATAACGAAGAATAATCCCTTTCAACACGACTTAAGTGTCCAATGCTGTGACGACCATTAGAGGGGCCCTGCCTCCAGCCAGGTGGAGGTAGGGGACAATCGGATTTACTGGACTGTGTGGATCAGATGGCCTGGCACATCAGTCCCACAGAAGTATAAGGCTCTAGTAGATACCGGTGCACAGTGTACCCTGATGCCATCAAGCTGTCAAGGGGTGGAACCCATCTATATTTCTGGAGTAACAGGAGGATCCCAAGAGTTGACTGTGCTGGAGGCTGAAATCAGCCTGACTGGGAGGGAGTGGCAAAAGCACCCTATTGTGACTGGTCCAGAGGCTCCATGCATCCTCGGCATAGACTACCTCAAGAGAGGGTACTTCAAAGACCCAAAAGGGTACCGGTGGGCTTTTGGTATTGCTGCTTTAGAGACTGAGGAAATTGAGCAGCTGTCCACCTTGCCTGGTCTCTCAGAAGATCCCTCTGCTGTGGGGTTGCTGAAAGTTGAAGAACAACAAGTGCCAATTGCGACCACAACAGTGCACCGGCGGCAGTATCGCACCAACCGAGACTCCCTGATTCCCATCCATCAGCTGATCCGTAGACTGGAGAGTCAGGGGGTGATCAGCAGGACCCGCTCACCCTTCAATAGCCCCATATGGCCAGTGCGAAAGTCTAATGGAGAATGGAGACTAACAGTAGACTATCGTGGCCTGAATGAAGTCACACCACCATTGAGTGCTGCCGTACCGGACATGCTAGAACTTCAGTATGAGCTAGAGTCAAAAGCAGCCAAGTGGTATGCCACGATTGATATTGCCAATGCATTTTTCTCCATTCCTTTGGCAGCAGAGTGCAGGCCACAGTTTGCTTTTACTTGGAGGGGTGTCCAGTTCACTTGGAACCGACTGCCCCAGGGGTGGAAACACAGCCCTACCATTTGCCATGGACTGATCCAGACTGCACTGGAACAGGGGCAAGCTCCAGAACACCTGCAATACATTGATGACATTATTGTGTGGGGCGATACAGCGGAAGAAGTCTTTGAGAAAGGGAGGAAAATAATCCAAATCCTGCTGAAAGCCGGTTTTGCCATAAAACGGAGTAAGGTCAAGGGACCTGCACAAGAGATACAATTTTTGGGAATAAAATGGCAAGATGGACGTAGACAGATCCCCACAGATGTGATCAACAAGATAACAGCAATGTCTCCACCAACTAATAAGAAAGAAACGCAAGCTTTCTTGGGTGCAGTGGGGTTCTGGAGAATGCACATCCCAAATTACAGTTCGATTGTAAGCCCTCTCTATCATGTGACCCGGAAGAAGAATGATTTTAAATGGGGCCCTGAGCAGCAACAAGCCTTTGAGCAAATTAAACGCGAGATAGTTCATGCAGTAGCCCTTGGACCAGTCCGAACCGGACCAGATGTAAAAAATGTGCTGTACACTGCAGCTGGGGAGAACGGTCCTACCTGGAGCCTCTGGCAGAAAGCTCCAGGGGAGACTCGAGGTCGACCCCTCGGCTTTTGGAGTCGGGGATACAAAGGATCTGAGGCCAGCTATACCCCAACTGAGAAAGAGATACTGGCAGCCTATGAAGGGGTTCGAGCTGCTTCGGAAGTGATTGGCACTGAAGCACAGCTCCTCCTGGCACCCCGGCTGCCCGTGCTGGGCTGGATGTTCAAAGGCAGGGTCTCCTCTACACATCATGCAACTGATGCTACATGGAGTAAATGGGCTGCACTAATTACACAACGAACTCGAATAGGAAATCCCAGTCGTCCAGGCATTCTAGAAGTCATCATGGACTGGCCAGAGGGCAAAGATTTCGGAATGTCACCAGAGGAGGAGGTGGTGCGTGCTGAAGAGGCCCCACCATATAATAAATTGTCAGAAAGTGAAAAGCAGTATGCCTTGTTTACTGATGGCTCTTGCCGTATTGTGGGAAAGCATCGGAGATGGAAGGCAGCTGTATGGAGTCCTGGACGACAAGTTGCAGAAACTGCTGAAGGAGAGGGTGAATCGAGTCAATTTGCCGAGGTGAAAGCCATCCAGCTGGCCCTGGACATTGCTGAACGAGAAAAGTGGCCAGTACTTTATCTCTATACTGACTCATGGATGGTGGCAAATGCCCTGTGGGGGTGGTTGAAGCAATGGAAGCAGAGCAACTGGCAACGCAGAGGTAAACCCATCTGGGCTGCTGCACTGTGGAAAGATATTGCTGCCCGGGTGCAGAACCTGGTGGTGAAGGTACGTCATGTAGATGCCCATGTACCCAAGAGTCGGGCCACTGAGGAACACCAGAACAACCAACAAGTGGATAAAGCGGCTAAGATTGAAGTGGCTCAGATGGACTTAGATTGGCAACATAAAGGTGAATTATTTTTGGCCCGGTGGGCCCATGACACTTCAGGCCATCAAGGCAGAGATGCAACATATAGATGGGCCCGTGACCGAGGGGTGGACTTAACAATGGACACTATTGCCCAGGTTATTCATGAGTGTGAAACATGTGCTGCAATTAAACAAGCCAAGCGGTTAAAGCCTCTTTGGTATGGAGGACGATGGTTGAAGTATAAATATGGGGAGGCCTGGCAGATTGACTATATCACACTGCCACCAACCCGCCAAGGCAAGCGCCATGTGCTTACCATGGTGGAAGCAACCACCGGGTGGCTGGAAACATACGCTGTGCCCCATGCCACTGCCCGGAACACCATCCTGGGCCTTGAGAAACAGATTTTGTGGCGACACGGCACCCCAGAGAGAATTGAGTCAGACAATGGGACTCATTTCCGGAATAACCTTATAGATATTTGGGCCAAAGAGCATGGCATTGAGTGGGTATATCACATCCCCTACCATGCACCAGCCTCTGGGAAAATCGAACGGTACAATGGGCTGTTAAAAACTACACTGAGAGCGATGGGTGGGGGAACTTTCAAGCATTGGGATACACATTTACCAAAGGCCACCTGGTTGGTCAACACCAGAGGATCTGCCAACAGGGCCGGCCCAGCCCAGTCAGAACTTTTACATATTGTAGAGGGGGACAAAGTTCCCGTGGTGCATATGAAGAATTTGCTGGGGAAGACAGTCTGGGTTATTCCTGCTTCAGGTAAAGGCAAACCCACTCGTGGGATTGCTTTTGCTCAGGGACCTGGATATACTTGGTGGGTAATGCGGGAAGATGGGGAAGTCCGATGTATACCTCAAGGGGATTTGATTTTAGGGGAAAACAGCCAGTGAACTCAATTGTATGCTGTTGCCTGCTGTGTAATGCTTTTATAGCCCATCAACTAGATGTCTCCAGGTCACCAGCGACTGGCCCTGACTTCCCTCCAGCCATCATCCCAACAGAGAATAAACTTGGAACATCATGGACCGAATGGACTCGGCAGCATTATAGGGATTGGTCCATGCACTAAGAAAATGATTTTTTTTCCTCTTGGTCTGTATGTATATGGATGTATATATGTGGGAGAGCGATGGTGTATTGAAAATGTGGGATCTGAGCACGACGTGAATGGTATGGAATAAGGGGTGGATAATGTCCTGGGTTCAGCAGTAGCAGTCATGTTTTTTTTTTTTCCTTTGTGTTAGCTGGTGCAGTGCTGTGTTTTGACTTCTAGTTTTGAGAACAGCGTTGGTGAAGCCGATGTTTTCGGTTGTTGCTAAGTGATGTTTACCCTGACCAAGGACTCTGTGAGGCTCATGCTCTGCCAGGGAGGAGGGGAAGCTGTGAGGAAGCAGAGACGGGGCGCCTGACCCGGGCTAGCCGGGGAGGTATTCCATACCACAGCACGTCATGCCCGGGGTGGGGGGTAACTGGGAGTTAACCGGAAGGACAGGGGCTTCCGGGTGGAACTCGTTTTCTTGGCCGGTGGTATCGTATTCTCTTCCCTTGTTATTTTCCCTTATCATTGTTTTAGCTGATAGTAGCGGTGGTGATTTGTTGCTGGACTGTTCTTGTCTCAACCCGTAGGAGTTGCACTCTCTCGATCCTCCTCCCCGTTCCTCCGGGAGCGGGGAAGGGGAGAGCCCCGGTGCAGGGAGGGGGGGGTAGACGAACACGGACCTTGATTGTTGTCAGCTTGGCACCACTCACTGGGAGTGAGTGAACAAGTTACCTGACTGGGTTTAAACCACGACAGTTGTTAAGGCAATTTTTTATGTTTGGGTTGAGTTTCAGTTATTCTTTGTGTATTCTTCTTGTTCAGCAATTTCTGTATCTGCCTACGAAACAAATCACTGTTTGGGAGTGATGATAATGTAGTTCATTTGTAGGTGCACAGCTGATGGCTGCAATGAGAAATTCAGAACCAAGTCAAACTTAAAGAAGCACATTGAGCGCAAGCATCAGAATCGGAAAAGGCAATATGTGGTAATTACCTTTGATACTGCAAAGTGGAGGCTAAACAAGCTCCTTTTCATGTATCTAGTGAAATACTTCAACTTGTTATTATGCAGTATTTGCATGAGTTCAAATACTGCGACTGGGATTTCAGCAAACACGTGTGGACTGCACTGTTTGGTTTCTAATGATAACTTAATTTCCTAAATAGTGCGACTTCGAGGGCTGTAATGAGTCTTTCAGGAAGCATCAACAACTTAAAGTTCATCAGTGTTACCACACCAATGACCCTCCCTTCAAGTAGGTGGATATTTTTAATAATGAACTTTTAACAATTCCATAAACACTGTAGATGAAAATAGGAGACTTTTCTCAACCTTTTCATTAATGTAGCATTTACAAAAGCAGCAAAACCAAAACTGGAATGGATTTGTAGTCATGGCTGCAAGTACATTTCTTGTGCAAGTGCTTTGCTCAGTAGTCTGGTTTTTGTTTCTTGGTGCTCTGAAACTTAGCATTCCAGATGTTTTCTATGGGTTTATTACAGGTTCACAGGAAAAATAAACAAAAAGACCCCCCCAGCTTCTAGTTCACAATCTGAAATACAAGCATAAAAGCTTGCAGGGTAATGAAAAATGCAGCTACTTCTATTTTTCAATAAAAAGAAGTGATGTGGCTAACATGAAGTGAGTAGTAGCATAAAAAAGGTGAAAGGCTTGGACACCAATCTGAGAAGCTGTGAATCTATGATTTCATTCTTTACAGGACACATCGGTATAGATCTGATGAAAGCAAAGTTTAGTCTTGTGTTTCTTATAGGTGGAACACACTTAACAGGAGCGTTCCACTTAAGTGACGTTCACTAGTATGGCTGTGTGACAGGCACAGAAGTACAGTTGGTGCTCTGCTAGATCTGTACAAACCACTTAAACTCTCCACTTTCTATTTCTCTTTTATCTTTGAAGAGCCTACTGTGTAGGGATGATATAAGGCTTGATTCTTTAGCGAAAGCTTAACTTGCTGTATATACAGAAACTGTACTATAATTTCACTCTCAAGGGGATCAGAGTCTTCTATTACAAACGTATTATGGAATTTACTTTTACAAGGCAGGGAGGACACACAAAACAGATCTTTAGGCAAAGTGAAACTTGTATTATTTTGTCCACTTTAATTGTTCTTGACTTAAAGAGCAAATAATACTTGGATGCAGTGAAAGAAATTAAACCAGTGTATTTTATACCTAGATGTAATAATGAAGGATGTGGAAAGTGCTTTTCTACCCCAAGTCACCTAAAGCGGCACGAAAAGATACATGAAGGTAATAGTTTTTCTTCTTGCTTCAGTTACGTTTCAGCAAAGGAAAAAGGACTTCTTCAGTACAGAGAATACACAGGGATGTTCTACAGACATGAAAGTGTTCTGGGCCTAGTGATCCAGTCAGACAAAACAAGAATACCTGTTTTGAGTAGTCAGGTGGGATACAGTTGCAAGGCGTTGCAGTGTTCAATTACTTGTGTCAGGCCAAACAGAGCTTGGGATGCCTCCAGTAATTTATTTTCCTAATGTGCCTCCTTGTTAATAATCCATCTTCTGGAGATGGGCTGATGGTTAAAGACACTAGCCTAGGCTTCCAGAGGTTAGGATCAATTGCCAGTTCTGCAACAGATTTTCTGTGGAGCCTTGGCAAAACCATGTAGACTTTCATTGTTTGAAGTTATTAATGTACCTATGTGAAAGGTATTTAAGTGGAATTGTCAGGAGCTGGTCATGTATGTTTGAGCTAATGCTGCTACACTCCTGTCTGTTCTTTCAGTATGACTGACAGCTAACCTGCTTACCAGTGCTAGAAAAAAACCCAACAAACCCAGGGGACTAGGTAGAGTATGCAAGAAGCTGTGATTTGTACTGTGTTCCTTTCTTAAGACAGGATGTTCTTGTGTTAATTTGTGTTGGTTGCAGTATGGGAGGAGGAATACGGGCCTCTAATTTTCAAATGCTGGAAGAGGAATTCCCCCTTGAAAAGCTGGACTCTGTTTGCCAAAACCTTTGTGATTGTAAACATCTGTCCTGTCCAACAGGCTATGCATGCAAGAAAGAAGACTGCTCATATACTGGAAAAACTTGGTCAGAGCTTCTGAAACATAATAAAGAAAGTCATGCAGGTAAACTCAAAATGATTATGTAACAGAACTGAACTTTTGATACAAACAGGAAACAAACTGCTAATTTGAAGAGTTCATGCTGAAATTTCATCAACTTGTCATTGTGTCCAGATGAACTTGTATATTAATGCTTTATCAGTAAAACGGTTGTCGCTCTGGCTAGGCCTTTAACTGATGGAATGCTGCTCAGTGTACTAACTTTGTGCAAGTTCTCATTAACTTTATCACAAAGTAATGTAGGATTTTGGATCTGGATAATTCATACTGCATTATTCTCTTCCAGTCTGAGCTCCTTGCAATTTTTGTGGATTTTAGCATTGTTTTAGAGGACTACTAAGGTTTGATTCTGAGCTTCTGTAAGAAGCTGTTAATTTATACTTTGCCTGTCTCTCTCCCACTCAGAAACAATCATTTGCAGTGAGTGTAACAAAACTTTTAAAAGGAAAGATTACCTCAAGCAGCATCAAAAAGTACATGCTGCCGAGAGGGAGCTCTGCAGATGCCCAAAAGAAGGATGTGGGAGAACTTACACAACTGTATTTAACCTTCAAAGCCATATCCTCTCTTTTCATGAGGAGCAAAAACCGTTCTCTTGCGATTATCCAGGCTGTGGAAGAACATTTGCAATGAAGGTATGTAATTTTCACACTGTTCTAATCTGAATCACATAATCTGAAATGATATACCTAACTTTTTTTTCCTGTTCCTTATAACTGTAGCAGAGCCTAGCAAGGCACGCAGTTGTACATGATCCTGAAAAGAAAAAGCTGAACTTGAAAGTAAGTTGTACTCTTGAAAAAAGTACTATCAACCATACCCTGTCACTTCAGAGGAGAATAAATATTACAGGTTTCAGAATAAGACTTCAAGCAGGAAAGCAGGCCAGCTGTCTACTTAATCTGGGGGATTCTTAATTCCGAAGCTCCTTTAAATGATGTAGTGCTGGCATTTTCTTCTTTCCCCATCACAGTAATAGACTTTGTTCCATGGATATGTCAAGTTGCTAATTGTGCATTTATTTCTGCCAGACAAAGCGTTCTCGTCCTAAGAGGAGCTTAGCCTCTCATCTGAGTGGCTACATTCCTCCTAAAACACAGCCAGGGACGGATGCTGTTGTGACACAAAGCAAGACAATGGATAAGCCCATGGAAAGTGAAATACCAACTGTTGAAATTCTGACTCTGCAGTAAAGGTGGACTGAGACGACAGTCTTCATGGAATAATCGATATAAAGTTCAACAATAATTTTATTATATTTATAGGGTTGTGTTTGTTTTTAAGTAAGAGATTGTTTATACTTTTTTATAAAGTCACTGATGCAACTCATTTGATTTCAGATCTTCATTTTCATCTTTCTTTTCTGTACTGTTTTTCTGGTTTTCCATCTTCTGGTATGCTTTCAGCTCTTTGTCAGACATGTGTCTCAAAATACAGGTGCTCACTCCTTCTCTAGTAATTTTTGGCTTGGAAAGGTAAGTAGCTTTCTCAGACACGGTCTCCAAAATCTGATCAAAAAGCATGAACTAAAAAGAAGGAGAAAACCAGGGTTAAGTGCACAAACACAGGTAGAAAAATACTTCAGGCTGTCTGTAATTACATGATTTCCTGTTTGTGGTTTAGCAGTTAGCTGAAATGAGCTACTTGCTAGTCCTGGTGTCCTGGTTTGAGCAGTAAAGCTTGTCCTTTCCTAATCTGTTCTTCACTCATTAGCAGGTTTAGGAAGGTTACCAGAGGAATTAAGCCATTTCCTAACACTTGGGCTGAATTCCTGACTTACCCTGTTTTTGCTGTTTGAAGATGTACATGAAAGTGGACTGCATCTGACTCATCCCCATCATCCTCTTCCACTAGATTTGGGCATATTATTACAGGGCTTTCCTCTTAAGGGGCAGTATTGTTCTAAGGTCAGCAGAACCTGGTAGTGTTGAACTCACTGATACAGTGGATTCATGTAACAAGCTGAACTCTTAAGCTCACAATCAAGCTTTTAAATTTAAGGACATAAATCTGGATATCCAGTTCTTCCTCATGTTACTCCTTCCCTGTGAATTCAACTTCTATGAGAAGTTTTTCTTCCTTTGGATGAATCGGTATCACAATTTTCTTCCAGAAATTTAGTAGAGAAGATCATCAGGGAAACCTACTTCACTGCACATATTAAAAGGAAAAAAGAAAACAAATTCTTACATGGAGTCTTTACAAAAAAAGCCACTTGCGCAAATGACAGTGGAAAAAAGTCTCAAGGCCCTGCAGTTATACTAGTAAGTAAGTTGCCACCAGCTCCCCAACTTATTTATAGATGTTTACTTTGCCAGTCTTGGAACACCATCCCAGTAGTTTTTCACACAGCAGTGGGCAACTAACATTAGCCACCACTGCACAAATGCACCTTCAGAACAACAGTTAGATTAGTGAAATAATCCATCTGAAATACCAGCAGAGTTTTTTTAAACCTTACTACTAAACTTTTCAGTGAGTGACCTGGCTTAAGGCATTGGCAAGGAAATTTCACCAGCACAGTTAATAAGGTGGGGCTGCAAAGGAGTAGGAACTGCTTAGACTCTGCTGTCAAAGCCATTATTGTAACTGCATTCTTAAAGCATGGTGTTTGACATGTCTCTATGGGACTACTTTCCTAGAACTGCAGTGTTTGAACAGAAGCAGCTGAAGGTGGGACAGCCATTCCTTTAATGGGACGCAGACCTTCACTTATTTTTAGGAGTACATGATGTATTAAAACAGTACTGAATAGGGGAAATTAATAGAAGTACAGTTATGTAATGAAACTGGTTGGTTCAGCTTTCAGAAGTGCACTTACCATGTCTGTATTGCTGTCTTTTGCTTGCCGGATGGTAATTTTAACTTGGTATTTCTTTTCAATCCACTGGGCTATGTGTTTAGTCTTGGTGTCTAAGTCGTTCTTGGCAATAGCTGAAGAAAAGGACAACTCCTTCCGAACCATCTCTGTTTAAAACAGAACTAAAATTGTATTGGCTTAACATCTGACAAACCTTTGCTGTCTTTCAACAGCTTATGGTGTTTGGTCTGCTTAACTCCCCTGCCCTGTGCTGCTTTCTCATACACAGAGCATCTAAATCTCATTGTCTCAGCAGGCACCACTCCCACCTTGGAAGGTGGCTACTTGATATCTCGCACTCACCGCTGTAATTGGGAGGCTGAGTGCATGTTTGAAGCATACAGAGAAGTTTCTTCAGGATCAGAAGGATTTAAGTATTTTTTATTTTAATTACAGTTTTGTTCATACCACCCACAATGCTGGTCTAACAAATAAACAGCTAAGTGCTGGATTTGGATTTAAAGACCTAGTGTGCAAACTATACATTCCACACATGGTACAGTTGAGTGTAAAAGCTCTTAAGTTAGAGCCCTCTTAATCTGAAACCCATTTTCTTGAATGGTGAAGCACAATATTCAACTGAAAGTGTGATGCCTTGAATTACATTTGATTTGTGCTCTCTTCCTCCTTAAAGATTTCTCTGAAGTAGTTACCATGTGAATATTCTTTTTGTAGCTTCTTGAACAGAAAAAGTCACTATCATAATAGTGCTTGCCTCTAAAATCAGAACTCTGCCCACACCGCTGATGCCTTTGCCATCCCAAGGATAAGAGAAGAGGGTATAAGGTCAGACACCCTTTCTAAAACTTACTTGCCAAACTCAGTTTTTTAAACTGCTGGAGCAGGCTGACTTAAAAACAACTGAGACCTGAGAAGCGTTTAATATAAAAGTTGTTCTCTTCCTCTGTACAAGAAAGGGCTCCAGACTTTGTCTTCCTCACAGCAAGCTTGGGAAAGAATGTTTTGTGACTACCGGTGACAAAACTTTCCAATTATATAGGTGTATCTATCTGTTGCTCAGTTTGTAAAAACTGCCTTTCACTTTATGCCTCAGAGGAACAGGAATTCAGTGAGGCTCATGGAACCAGGGTCCAGTTATATTCACTTAAACATAAATATTTTTTTAAAAATAGAAGGTGCCAAGATAGTAAATCCTGAGAAGGCAACAGAAGGCTTCTCTATGGAAGACTAGTCTAAGCCAAAATGTTATCTTCACCACTGCAAATCCTTAATAGCATGGACCGCAGTGACATTGCTTTGGATTTACACAAATGCAAGTAAGAGGATTTCATCTGCTGAAACCACTTCTGATGCAGCATTTGCCAAAGTGGTCAGTGTTGCAGTGTCAATAATGCACATACCTGATTTTGAACTTGATTTTTTCTTCTCTGCACGTTTCAGCTGTTCTTCATGAATCTGCTGCCCAGTCATTAGTCTATATACAGGAGGTTCTTCATTCTCACGCAGAAGAACTAGTTTCAGGTCATGTTGATCCATAAGTTTGAGTGCCTCAGCTCGGTGCATATTTCCTAAGCTCTCTCCATCCTGGTTGATGACGTGCAATATCCGATAAGGAATTCTTCGCCCAACGCTTCCAAATGCCGTTTTCGGCTCCTTGGGAGATTTTTTAGCTGTACAAAATGGTTGTGTAAGTCCAAATACTGTTGACTTTGTAGGGTCAGACACCACCATCCAGAATGGAGAGAAGACCCTCTTCAGTTGTGTTTGTGTAAGAAGAGTACCACAGAATCTTTTTGTGTATCTCTGCTCGTTTCTGGTTGCTTGACACAGAAGTTTCATCACACAAAAGGCAGTCATTCTGAGGAGGCAGTGAAGAAGACAAAACAAGTTACCCCCATCAGCCAAATACTTCTAGTATTTGACTCCAGTTCAGTAAACCCTAGCCCCTAGAACTACTCTTTCAAAAAGATGCAATGGTATTACTATACAGAATGAGCAACCAACAGTAATTTTACAGTAACAGAGGGCTTTAACCTGGAGAGAAAATCTGACAGCAGAATGTATGAAGAGTTGATGTTATCTTCAGTAATTTAAAATTAGAGCCTGGACTCCTTTAAGGAATCCCATACTTGTAGTTCATTCCTCCTCACAGGAGTATCCACTCTTACACAGGTTTTTTGTGTACAGAAAGATAAGCCAATAATTAAGAGGGAGAATACACTGTCAAATAAAAAGGCATGTCACACTTCTAATGTTAAGTCCAGATTTTTTTTCAGGAGGTATCTAACAATAGGACTTTCTTCCTGGTTCCAGTAATCATCTTTGGAAAGTGTTTCATTTAAACCACATGAATTTGGGACCACCTTAATCACGTAGTGAATGAAGTGGCAATTTGTGCAGTGTCTCTGAGCAGCCATTCCAACATCTGCAGCCTGACTCTTCGATTAAGGTTTTGGAATTCCAAAGCCTTCACCATACAGTGTAAAACTGCCATGCAAAGTCTTCACCTTGGCATTATAACATCACAAATTAACTGTTACTATACTTGAAAATATGGTTTATCTCCCAGGGTTGAAAACTCCTTCATAGCCAGCATGCAACTTGCTTCTCATAGCACTGGCCCCAAATGATGTATTTCTCTGCCTTCCAAGTGCCACTGTGGAAGCAGTCCAGCTGCTAATTGCTCTTCAATGGATTCACTGATATTACATCAGTAACCTTAATTTAATTTTTAAAGTTTCTTCACTGTCGTTTACACTCAAGTTCTACTGATTCAGGCATGCTCCAAAGTGAAAACAGTGCCTTAATTTTAGACTTATTTTATCAGACATTTAAAGTATCAATTGACTCTACCAGTTTTTCACAAACATTAAATTTAGGGTGGCATATTCCTATTTATAGTGAGTTGATTTTTTCCAGTTACCAGAACTATTTGAATTTCTTACATGCAGAAAGCATGCACCTAAGTGCCATTCAACTAGGACCATTCAATAAAAACATCAATAATGATACTTTTCTTCATGAATGATGAAAAAATCTAGTGGGGAAAAAGAGAAAAGAGACACGGATAAGACTTGCCTGCAACACATGAACTGTAAAATAAGCAACAGATTCACAGGCCTAAGATCCCCACATGCAAATTGAAATTTAAACAGTTACAGGCATCTGTCCTGGCATGGTACTCATGCAGCTATAGAATCACAGACTGGTTTGGGTTGGAAGGGACCTTAAAGCTCATCCAGTTCCAATACCCCTGCCATGGGGAAAGACACCTTCCACTAGACCAGGCTGCTTAAAGGACCGTCAAAGCATTCAAAACACGCCTCAAAATACCCCAGTGCTTGAAATCAAAGACTAATCTTTGAGGCATTTCTTCCATTATATTTTTCCCCTATTTTTTCCCTGGTTCATGGATTCCCCGTGGCAATTTTGGTGCACCTGACCGTTACTTGCATTTCATTCAAAGCTTAAGAAATCAGCTGTTTTTTAACATCTGTGAAAACTTGAGCAAACCGCAGAGTATTATCTGCAGTTTTGGTATTCTGCGTTTAAAAGGCAGCAAGCACAGGGAAAGCCAAAGATGATACAGGAAAACAAATGTGGTATCACAGGAGCTGGCAGGAGCACGGCCTCTTTTGCCTAGGGAAGAATGTGACTCCATTCTATATGCATGTGTGACACGGTAAACACACATCCGTGTGTGTACATATACATGGAGAAGGCTGCTCAGCCTGAGGTTTGCAAGCTCTTAGCAAGGATGAGGAACTATTTATGATTCTAAGGAGTCCTGTCCCAGGAACAAGTAAAATGACCTGTGAATAAACAGTCTGAGCATGGGGACAGGTTGAAGCCTGGGGCAGACTAATTTTTAGCAGTCAATACAAAGCTGAGGGTGGTGAGACACTGGCACAGGTTGCCAAGAGAAGCTGCGGCTGCCCCATCCCTGGCAACGTTCAAGGCCAGGTTGGATGGGGATTTGACCAACGTGGTCTGACGGAAGGTGTCCCTGCCCGTGTCAAGGGGCTCGAACTGGATGAGCTTTAAGGTCCCTTACAACCCAAACCATTCCGTGGTTCTGTGGTCAGCGAGGACAGATGTGTCGGGGGTTCTAGTGCGCAGGCAGGCTGTACGCATAGCGGCAGCTGTGGAAGAGCCGCCGTTCTGCACTCACGGGACGTGTTTCGCTGCGCACACAGGTGCTACGTGCAGCTGCTACAGACGCGTACCTTGCAGGAGTCGCTGCTGTGCAGTCCTGCGCAGTCTCGAGGATCTTTTAACTTTGCGCGTGGATCCGTGCGGGGTTCTGCGGGGACGTGCCCGGGTGCGCACGCCGGGGAGGTCACCAGCTGTGTGCGTGTGACCCTGGCACTCGGGCCCAGCGGTGTGACGGTGCAGGCCCGGAGCCCGCCGGGCCTCCCCGCCCCGCGTCCCCCCCCCACCTCCCTCGCCGGACGGCCCTTACCTGCCGTCCGGGGCCAAACCGCCGGCCCTGCCCCCCGTAGCCAGCCGAGTGACCGGCCTGGGCCGCCGGAAGGCGGAAGACTGTCCCACCTCTCCCCCTTCCTCTTCCTCCCGCTCTTCCGCTCCTGCTGCGTACCCGTGTGCGTGCGCGTGTCCGCGGTAGCAGGGCGCGCTCCCGCGCGGCGCCCGTGTTTCCGCAGCCATGCAGCCGCGTGTTCGGGCCTCACACGTGGGGTTGCTGCATGGTGTGACTGGGGGCGCGTGTGTCTGTGCATCTGTGTGCGCAGTGTGTGCAGGGCTGTCCACCTGTCTGCACACGTGTCTGCACGCTGGGCACACCTGTAGTGTGTATATGGAGGTGTATTTGTGCATGGGGAGGTCTGTACATACAGAGAGCTTGTGTCTCCTCGCAGTGTGCATTTGTCTGTGTATCTGCGTATTCCTCTTGTGTCCGTGCATTTCCGTGTTGATGTATGTGTGGTGTGTGTCTGGTTCTGCGTGTGTGCTTGTTGGGTTGGGTTCTTTTCCGCGGTGTACCACCACCATCGTTTTGGTTTAGTTTTGTTGATTCTGTGTGTATTTGCTGCACTGGGGTTGTTGCAGTTGGGTGTAAGGACCACTGCGAGGAGATGCTTCTTGCTGTGCCCAGTGGCCTTCCCAGGGCAGTGGTTTGTGGCTGTGAGCGGAAGGATCAATAGAATCCCAGACTGGTTTGTGTTAGAAGGGACCTTAAAGCTCATCCAGTTCCAAACCTCTGCCATGGGCAGGGACACCTTCCACTATACTGGGTTACTCAAATCCCCGTCCAACCTGGCCTTGAACACTTCCAGGGATGGGGCAGCCACAGCTTCTCTGGGCAATCTGTGCCAGTGCCTTAGCATCCTCACAGGGAAGAATTTCTTCCTTATATCTAATTTAAATTTTTCCTCCGGCAGTTTAAAGCCATTGCCCTTGTCCGATCCCTACATGTCCTTGTAAAAAATCCCTTCCCAGATTTCCCGTAGGCCCCTTTAGGTGCTGTAAGACTGTTACAAGGTCTCCCTGGAGTCTTCTCCAGGTTGAGCAAGCCCAGCTCCCTCAGCCTGTCTCCATAGGAGAGGTGCCCTCTGATCATCTTCATGGCTTCCTCTATACTCAGTCAAGCAGATCAGTGTCCCTCCTCGCAGCTGAACATAGAGCAGAGCTGGACGCAGTAAGAGGCTGTACATGCCGAGTGCTTTGCCTGTGTGGTGTTTATGGAGGCTGTGCACCTGAGCCTCTGCTGTACCTGTCTGCACATTGTCACACATCACTCCCTCTATCCCCAGCCATAAGGCTGTCTGGTGTGACTGAACAAGCGGTGCTGTGGGCCAGTGTCAGTGCCAGGGTTGCCAGGAGTCAGCAGTGCATTTGTGAGGTGTCCTGGCGTGTGGTAGAGCTGTGTCTGCAGGGGTCAGCAGCAGCGTGTGCTTTGTGCAAGTTACTCCGAGAGCTTGTTGGATGTTTGGATTTGTTACCTTCCTTAGTAGGCTGATCAGCCTTGGGTTTGCAGGCTCCTTCCTCCCGTTGGCCTTGCCTCTGAAAGAGGAGCTGAAATCTGTGTGCAAACCCTAGGTCCCCAGCTGTAAGTAATGCACTATGAGCAAAACACTAACCAGTGTGAGGGTTTGCTGTTCTGTTCTGGTTGGGCAGAACGTGCGTGGAGTAGTGTGTGCTGAAAATACCTTTTCAGGAGCTGTTTGTGTCTATTGAGGGATGCTGTTTGACCAGCCAGGCTGGAGCTGAGAGTGATACTGAGGCTGAAAGTGTTCAGAATCTGAGTCAAAATGAAGCCACGGTAAGCAGCTGGAAGGAAGGCCCTGTCTACTCTCCTTCCTGCTGAAAGAAAATCGTGATTTTTAGCTTACTTGCCTTGGGCCACAACTTAAGTGACGCCTCTTTACTCTGCCCCCTTCCTGCCCAGGAAGAAGAAATGCGGTGAAAATCTGAGCATCTTTTTGGTTTGAGTGTTTTCTATTCTTAACTATGGTCTTGGAATGGTTTAATTCCATATGCTGGCGGGTTTGGTACAGCCATTTTGGTACGCACATGCAAAAGCCTGTCACTGCTTTGTGCTCTCCCTCTTTACAGAGACATCATATGGTAATGGTGTGCAAAACCGGAAAACTTGGCTACATCAGTTCTCAATCTGAAATTCATTCATATCACCTTATCCTCATTAAAACTCCTTGCCTGCAGTAATGAGTATGGAAAAATGCCATTAACAGAATTAGCTAAGTAGATGGTGAGCTGTGCTAACAGCCCGACTAACAGCTGTAGCTTCACCTATTCTATGCAAATAGCACCTGTTTTTTGTATTCTGCTCATTCATTCATTTCTTGATTTCACTCAGGCTTTATGCCTTTGCAGTTTTAAGCTCTCTGGGAACTGGGATTGCCATTGCTTCCATCAGGAGAGTGCCTAAGAAAAGCAGATCTCAGTTTGATGCTTTTGAAATATCAATTATTGAAATTGTACAGTACTCCATTGTGGAGAGTGAAATATTCCACAGTAAGACAAGGCAAGACAAACCTGGGCTTTATTGCTCTTTTCATAGTCTGGAAATGAAGTGTGGAATTTGAATGGCTGTGAAGGGAAGTTTTGGCAGAGCTGAAGCCTGGGGAGATTTGTTTTTTTCATCCTCTGCTCTGCAGCATGCATTAGAGGAGAGCCTGTCAGTGCCCGGCTTGCAGTTAGCTACTATTGCCTCTCTGAGAACCATCCCCATGAGAATGATAATTTTCAGGAATGGTAGCAGCAGCAATAAAGCTAATAATCCTCTTCACTGTGATAAAAACTACCTGCATGAAAGCAATGTACTTCGGAGCGTGCAACTTGCATTCCTTCTCTCTTCCCTTTGTTCAGTTCCCTTAAGTTTAAGCCTGATGTTTGCTTTACTTTGTGCCTTTCCAATTAAATTTAGCATGCCAAGAAATAGTGCAGCCTTCTCTTGCTGATTGTCCTCAATTAACTTGATGTTTCTGGGGGTTCATTGTACTCTTTCTCCTTGTTCTCTGTCACATGTCTGTTTACAC